ATATCTTTCATATAACTTATATATCATTAGATGAAATATATTTGATAGAAAAGGATTTGATTCGACTTCAACACACAAGTTTGGGCAATGCTTGATTTCACAGATAACACACACGCTCAATTGGCAAAGGAATGTCTTTGTCAAAGACAGAACAGAAACAGTCACACGAATAGTTCTACAAGACAGGTCTGTACAATTTTATAGGTTATATTTCACTAAATTTTTCGATGCCGTTGCGAAATACATTCGATCGCCGACGAGAACTTCCTGTTTCCTCAAAAACAGAAAAAAAGAAAAAAAAATTAATGACTAAATCAGAATGTCGTGATAGTTAATGAAAATTTCCTACATTATTTCCACCATTAATTTAGCTTTCGGCTATGTTAAACATTATAAATTAACGGAGTATGAAATATATTCAGCCTATACTTATAATATGCTAATTTTGGAATGCAAACTAAAAAGAAATCAAATGAAGAGCTCTTAATTTTAGTTCTTATTCATTCGAAGAACGAAAGAATAATTTTATGTGAAACGATCCGTGAATATAAATTAATTTAACATTCAATGTATGATTTGGAAAATAAAAGATAACATCTATCTCGTAGATTTATAATAATCGATACAACTATACAATAATTGTTAGATTTATTGAAAGATAAGAGAAAACATATTTATAGATTTGTATCAATTACCAAATAATTGACAAGAAAATACAATTTATATACGTAAATACATATATAAACACAATTATATACGATTGTTTGTATGTGTTTCTGAGTGTATACAGTATAGGCCTATATAAATTCATATAGTTTTAAATAAAATAAAATATAAATTAAAGTTTAAAATTAATTTTATAAATAGTTAAATATCAACTGATTTAGAAAACAGAAAATTTAATAAAAAATATAATAGACCTAGTTTAAGTATATGTTAATGTAATAGTAATAACAAAAAAATAATAATAGTTCTGTTTTGTTTAATGACGATAAAACAAATGAGAAATTCTTTAAAAAAACAACATAAAAATAACCTCATTGTTATCTTTCTTTTATTTTATTCAATTGTACAAATTATTTCAGAATATGATAATAGAGAGAAAAAATACACTTCAGAGAATTTTCGAATTTAAATTATTAGATTATTTCTAATCGATTTTTTAGTATAAATGGCATATTTGTTTTTATAAACGATCACATTGTACTATAATACTTCGTCAAATTTTTTAAAAATCAATCATTGTAAATGGGTTTAAAAAAATTAAAATACAAGAAAAAACATTTAATTAATAATATTATTCAATAAATTTATTCACATTACTTTGAGAAATTTCTCTTTAATAATTAATTAATATAATTATTTGAATAAATTAAAAATAAGATATTTTGGTATAAACTAATTTATTAATACAGTGGTACCTCAGGATACGAAATTAATCCGTTCCGAAACTGAGATCGTATCATGAAAATGTCGTAAGGTGGATATCTTTTCCCATACGATTACATGTAAAACCAAATAATTCGTTCCAACGCGAAAAACATACTCAAATTAAAGCCAAGTAATACATTAAAAAAAAATAACTGTAGTAAGAAAAACAAATGAAAAATGCGAACTAATGTAACGTCGTATGGTGAGTTTTTGTTCGTATCGTGGAGCAAAAATATGTTCGAATTTCATGTCGTATCTTAAAAATTTCGTATGCTGGGGCGTTCGTAACCTGAAGTACCACTGTATATAGAAATTTCTGTATGAAATTCTCAAAAGTTTCGTTGTAATAATTTTATTTTTTATTTTTTATAATAATCTAAAAAACTAGAAATTAAGATATAATTTATGAAATTAAATATCCCATAAAGAAACTATTAAAAATATTTTAATAACATTTAAATTAGCATAATTTTTATTGATGAATTCAATGGGATAACGCGAGTAGGCTGTGTCGTAGACTACAGTTAGGCTCATTACTAGCCCTCAATGGGGTTAACATGGGGTTACGTGGGCACTGCCCATGATAAACTATGGGAATACAAAGAGAGTTCGGTTTCTGATCCCACACAGGAATAGACTAACACTTATTGCCTTGACAAGCAGTTAAGTTAACACTTAACTGCTTGATTAATTTCTGTCGATTTTAGTAAAATAATTACTATTTTACACTATTTTCTATTTAATCCAAATAAATTATAGGCCTATTTCGTTAAATATCGTTTTAAATCTCTAACGAGCACTCATTTTAAAGTATAAAATTAAAGTTTCCTTTACTTAAATATGAANAAAGGAATTATAAGTTGGCAATAAATTTTATTAAAATAATATATAAAATTCCAATATGTATCTGTTCTTGAAAAAGTGTTCATTAAAAAACTGAGAAAACAATCTGTTGATTTCTCTCCATTAAATCTCTTAATTTAACAATACATTGTCGCATGCATCCCTATGGAGATGACTTAATTTCAAGAATTATTAGTCATAGAAAAATGTTGATGAAATTTTGTTTGTGTTATCAAGATGTTGCAAGTTTTCTGCTATTCATAAAATAAATGTCCATATAATTTGAGTGCTATCATGCTTGCTAATATCACAAATATATGTAGTAATTATATACTTCTGCATTATACTTTTAAAATTTGATAAAAGTTATTATATCTGAAAACACATTTCCTCATTTGTTAGGAATATTTTAAGTAATCTAAGAGAGAAAAATGTGCTGAACTTTGCCAACTAAAGATATTTAATTCTGAGTGTTTTCCTTTATTTGTAGAATGTTTAAACATTTTCAAGTATGATTTTGTAGTTTAATGAATTGTTTGTAAATAATATTTTTTAATTTACAACAAACAATTCTTAATTTTTTTTTCTTTTTTCTTGTCTTTTTTTAAGAGCACGAGCACATTTTTGTATATATTTTTTCAATTTGGTGCATATTTAAGGAAAATAAGTAGCATAACTGTACTAAACAACTCCCATATTTTATAGAATTTACCCATTTAGAAATAAGTTAATTAATTTAGAATATTATGGAAGAAAAGATCGATGCGGAACTCGAACCCCAGCTCCTGCTTACCGTGCATGTGCGTTGCCAATTACATTACGCTTCCAGACAAATTAATTGTATTTCCAGTTAGCTTTATTAGGACAGAAAGAGGTAATAGCACCTAGATTAGGTCATTCTGCCTGCATTGAATGTTTATCAATAATGTTCGCCTCCTACGAAAGTTCTATTTCTTTAAATTTGCTGTTACGAACGAGTTTTAAAAACGTTTATCGCAGCAATGTTATAGAAGTATCTTTCTTCCTACTTATTTTGTCTATTCTTTGCCTCTAAATTCAATTGAAGATGGCAAGAAATTTACACTGGTGTCAATTTATCTAATAGAATTACTTAGTTTATTTCTAGATTCAGAGATAAAGAAGATATAGCTTGATAAGATGAGCGAAATTAAAATTATTCAAAACGTTTCAGTGGTGTCATCACGAAAGTCTTTCATAACTGTCTTCAATTGTAATAAAGCAGAACATTTCATACTGCATATGGCTGTATCAGATTATAAAATCAAAAGTAATTTAAATTCATTACAATTTTCAGGATTTGTGTCAATATAAAAAGTTGAAATACCTATTATCAAAAATATAAAATGACAGAATTCTAAAACACTGGAAAAATTTATTTTTTAACCTCCCCGGTTTCAAAGAGAGCAAGCAATCGACATAAATAGAAAACAAAATATAGGTGTTCTTCTTGAAAGTTTTTTCACTCTCTCCAATCTATAGGCACTATGAGGGCCTGTTTAATCATGCTTATCGCAGGTTTGGCTAGACTAATGGGCAATCTGTAGGCACTATGAGGGCCGGTTTAATCATGCTTATCGTGGGTTTGGCTAGCCTGATGGGAGCGGCTGAGGAAAAAGCCCGACATATCCAGGACAGACCTATCGAAAAATTTCTAAGGTTACTCTCTCGGATCCCCAGAGCGTTAGGCTGACGCCTTAATCGTCTCGATCATCCGGCCGTTCCTCGAGACAGTGCTTAAACAGTGCTAAAATAATAACTAAATTATTATAGTTTATTTGTAAATTATAGATTTTGCGATTTGTAATGGAGTATTCTTGTATATGATTATGTAAGAACGACATTATTACAGAAATTATTTATAATAAAAATAAAAAAAGGAATACAAAGAATATTTCATTTTAACTTTAATCATATTAAAACATTTTTAGATTTTTAAAACTAAAAATATTTAATACGAGCAATCAAAATATCAAAACTAACATCAAAAAGATAACAATGTAAAGTAAGCGTAATTATCCTGTCATTCGCAGAAAGCGTCAAAAATTTAATTCAGATCTTATAAAAAGAATTCTTGGCTTCAACTTCTATTTGAGAAAGTCTGTCTCAATTATATCAAACTTTTTTAGATTTAAAATTGTTTTTAAATACATTTAGGACATGTTTTGAACTGTACAAGAACATATCAGTTAATATTTTCTTTTAAAATTATAAAGTATGGATTAATTAAAATATTATGGATTGAAAAATTCCTACCATTGGATATAATTTCTGCATTTTCTTCCTTAGAGTCGATAAAATTTAACTTTTTCTGTTTAACTTCTGACGAGGATTGTTTTTTCTGTTTATGTCTTAGATTCTTGAAGACCCCAACCAGCGAAATGGACGATGAAGATTCTTTTTGATTCTGATTAAAATGGAAAGGCCAACGAAAATTTTTTTTCCTTCTTACTACTTGATTTTGTATGATTCGTCTTCTTTCGTATTCTAACTCTTTTAAGATTTTTTCTTCGTAATCTTTTAATGAAATGTCTGGAGAATCTGTAACGGATTGCTGAGAATCTTCACATTTCTCGCATGGACAAGTTTCTGTTTTTATATCTTCCATTACAGTTGGTGAAAAATAATATTATTTTTTTAAAATATCAGTTTTCATACTTCTTAAAAATTACTTTCCAAACATATTTTAAATAATTTTTTGCCTGTAATATGTAATGTAATTTACATTCTTATGTATAAATTTTAAATTTACGTGCGTGCAAAGTTTTCTTCCAATAATAAACTATTATATATCACTTTAATATTCTTAATATTTTAAAAATATTCTTAATATACGAAGTAATTGAAGACAATATTGTCTCTGACCAGTCATGTCTTTTTTCTCATCTTATTTGCAGATAAACTTCCGGCCCTATAAAAGCAAAAAAAAAAAAAAAAAATTGTTATATTAATATAAATAAAAAATATTTAATTTAATTTTTAAAGCTGGAAATGTAACAATTTAAGACAGAAAATTAATTTTTTAAATTTATATCATAAAATATTGCTTATTTATGTGGTTTCTAGATGGCGCCACTCATATTTTAAATTGAATTTACTGTACTTCAATAAAATTTTATATTTTTAAAATAATATATTTATTTTGTTAATAATTTGTTAATTATAATTTAAAATAATTATGTTATAAAATAAATAATTTGTTAATTATATTTATATTCCATAAAATTATAAAATAATTCCAAATTTTTAAGAATGGTGACATGATGTACAGATTTAAGGATTCCGAATGAGAATGTTTGAAGTACAGTACATAGATGATCGATGGTAGGATGGCCGAGATGGTTAAAGGCACCGTTTTGAGGGAGCCGGGATCCAATCCGGGCGAGCAATCTCAGGAATATTTCGTGGCAGAGGAAAACAGCTTTGTTTTGGGTCCTGGTTCGAAAGTCCCCCCTCTCAACCGCACCCAATCGCAGAGAATGAAGCTTGAATCCTACAAAAAAAAAAAAAAAGCCTGAGGAGATGAATCACCCGACCGTAATCAAAACGGTTGTTTTGATGAATCGTAGGTTTTTGCTGTATAAAGTTCGGATCCAACTTTGCGCCATTGTAGTTTCGAATTTTATAAGTGATCCATCCCGGATATATCGGACCCGTCCCTCACCACTCGGTTTCCCCATTGTGGGCCTGGCCGAATCCACGACGAGTATGGCAAAAAGTCCCTCTTAGTGTCCACAGATAAAAAAGAATTAAAAACGAAAAAAACATGAGTACAGATGATCAAAAGCAGTTTTATGTTATAATCCTTTAGCTAAGAGACATGAAAGAACAAGATAAAAGATGAGAAGATCAATGAAGTCGGAACAAACACGTGAACTCTTCGATAAACGGTTAGAAGATTTTTATAGCTTAACGGTTTTTCTTGATCTGTATTGAAAAGCAATAGTATTCAATAACAATATAACTGGATATAAAGAGAAAAATATTTTTAATCAAACTTTATCCATAAAAATTTCACTGTTATTAATATTATCCTTACTTACCAGATAGTATCTATATGTTTTAATTTTATGAATAAATATAACAAAGTTCATTCTTATTTTATTACAAATACTTTATTTTTAATAAAATAAATTGATATAATAAATAAAATTTGCTTATTTTTATAATAAAGAAGTATTCTTCATACTCTAATATAATCAACTTGGTTTTTTAAAATAGAAGAAATATGCTCATAATGCAGAGCTGCAATTTTTAATCATATTTTAATTTAAAATATCAGATAAGACCGGAAATGCGTATAATTAATTGGGACTTCCGGCTTCTAAGTTTTCCATATCTGGTCTCGAATTTCATCTAACTCCGTTTTCGAAATTAAGGAAGAACGGACAGACAAACGGCCGGACGAGAGACAGTGGAAAGCTATAGGTTAACAATTTGAAAAATTAAGCACAATTAGACGTTTCTAAATATTCAGAAAAGTAAATTATTTAAAAGAAGCGATAAATAAAATTTAATATAATCTTATTTATCTCTAGTTTATACGATATTTCATTTTAAAGATGTTCAATACTTTTGACTTATTAAAATANCTGGACTAGTAATTTGAGTCGGTTGTTCTGTAGAATTTATTTTTTATTTCATGTTGTAAAGCATTGTGTTTGTATATTTATTTATCTGTTAATTTAAAATAAATTTTCTATCACTATTTCCTGCAAAATAAAAATAAAGGTTCACGAGAATTTATTGAATTTAGCTAATTCGTTCGATTTAAATTCATATGTATGGTAAGAATATTCAGTTGTTTTTATTTAATATTTTTCCATTAAAAAACCTGATAAAATATACGATTTTTCCGAAGACCATTACAAAAATAACACTACGATATCTCGTCTATACGTGACAAAAATACCCGAAACATCAAAGATAGGTAAGAACTGTAAGAACGATTTTTAAAAATTTATCTTCGTACACCACTCTGAGGTTCATTTATAATTGAATGAGGTTAAACTTTATAAAGATAAAAGTATTATTCTCAAAGGTTTCACTTAAAACCTATTATTTTCGATAATAAATTAGAAAATAAACACTAATTACTACTATAATCTTTTTTAAATTATAAAATTTGATACTTAACATCTTTATTTTAGTATTTTGAAGCGGTTAATAAAAGAAATAACAGATAGAAAAAGAAAAATAGGACGAAATCCAATTATTAAAACTTCTAAAATGAATAAATTCTTAAGTTTTAAGTGAGAAATTTAAAATGTAATTATATAATAACTATAATGAAAGATACTTGTTTCATTAAAATGAAACAAGTAGATTAATAAAGTCGAGATCTTGTAGATAATTTATACGAGTTTAATTTTCGGTCTCAATCGAAAGAACTACATCAACCAGTTTTGATATTCTTTAACTAGTTGTCTAGTACAGCCAATGTTCCCCCCTTTTCTTTTTTTGGCTTCAGGCACCTTTATTGGAGAACCGGTCGAGGTGCAACTGAATGGGAATCGTTTTCAAAAGCGTTTACTCGATACATACTTCATATAACATTTTTAAAAAATATATCATATTTTTAATATTTCAATTCTTTATAACGGATTTACACGCGTGGTCCTAAGCTATAGCACCCTTCTTTACTTTCCAACAAATAATAAATTTAAAATATGGGGCCCTAAATTGTCTCGTAGCTTGAGGCCCGAAGCTTTTTCTTCTCTCCTGTAAACGTACCTCTAGCACCTTCATTAAAGATGATAGAGGCCCTAAGCTGTTTAGCTTACATTTAAATTTCTCTCTTCTTCATCGAGTTAATTTGCAAATATATTTTGTATTCATTTATTAAATGCTTTAATCAAATAGCGTGAGATTTTTCTATATATTAACATCGATAATTTATTTATTTTTTAATCTAATTATAAAATTATACAATAAAAATAGGTTATAATATTTGTATTTATTTAATATTACAAAAAAAAAAGATACGGGATTAAAATAGGCTACACCTTGATCCCCCATCTTAAAATTTTGCAAAGGTTAAATTGAAATTTGGTTCTGTTATACAATTTATATTTATAAATCAATATGTATTTCTGTACTGTTAAGAATCAGCCTCTACGAGAAATTTATTATAATAAGACAATAAGCAATGTAATGCAATCAGCATCAATCTTCTGGTGTTATAGTTAATTTTTCCTTTTTCTTTTTAATTCGTGATGAAACTGTAAATAATATAAAATGTATTATTTTCTAAGGATTCGAGTTTGGAATCGCTAAGCATAAATTTATCGATTTATCCAGTAAATTACATTTCAGATTGATTTAAAACTTCACTTTGTAATTAGGCTTAGAGCCTGCATTGCTTATCCAAGGCCATTGTTTACGGTAAAACTGCTTTCCTAACATCTGTTTACGGTATTTCTCATGAAAGTTGTTTATTATATAAGGCATTTCGACCACGCGACACTAATATTTTGCGCGAAAATGTATGTGTTTGTTTGCGCTTCCACACAATAATAGCATCATTGGAAAGTCCTGTATAGTTAAAAAATAAACAAATGGTAATATGTATATAATGTTACATATTTACTTTTAAATCTTTTCACTTTACGGGCATTAAAAATGCCATTTATATTCCTATCTTGGGCTCGTCTAAACCCAAAATAGGGGCAGTCGAGTGAAGAGGTACGGTGCATGACATCCGGGTCAAACAAACCAAGGAATTTTCGTAGGATCCGCTAAGAACTCAAACCCAATCCCGCATAGTACATTGATGCTTTTACCGCTTCGTTCAGCTGAAAGTCTTATAGAAAGATAGTGTAATAGAGTTGTAATGAAAGGCATTTGTTTTGCTTACTATTAATAGTTGAATTGTCAATACTAGATAGATTATAATCTAATATTATGATTTTTATTTAAACATTACTTAATAATGTACGTAAAATAATAAAATATAACACAACAGTGATAGTCTGTAAAGAAATATTTTAAAAATATTATCACCTTAATGAATAGTCTATTTAATTACAATAAATTTTTCACAAATGTAAAATGAACAATGGATTTTAAAAAGTAGTTTTTTAAATCCTAATTCACAATTCAATAATTATGATTGAATGCAAAATAACTTTTAAAAGCATCGTAATTTGTTGATATAGGTGCTCACGTCTACTTTAAATGCAGTTAGAATATCCATTTACCCAAAACAAGATCTGTATTTACGATTTCAGCGCCTTACAAATTCAGCATCTGTAAAGCACTGAATCGTAAACTCGGATGAAGGTATACGATATTTCTGCTGTTAAAACATATTACTTACTGTATATACTAACATACATCCTCCAATATAGCCATCGCAACTCATATTTTCTTATGTGTAAAAAATATTTTATTGGAATTTGATTTATTTCAGAGGTCGTGATAAAAATTCTTGAAAAATAGATTATCAGAAAGATTCAAAATATTTAGTAGATAAATAAATACCGGCATCAAATAATAATTTGTATGAGTTCATCTGTGATAAGTACAGTAAATAATAACAATAACCTGTAAAAATTTTAACATGACATTGGAGAAAAAAGATATTTTGAAAAATAATATTTTTTTAATTTTTCAAAATATAACCAGTAAAATAGGTCACGATTTTCAATTTCAAAGTAGCTTTCAACTGATCTGAAAAGCAAATAGTTTATGAAACAGTTATTCAGATACATTCTAAAGATATAATACACAGTTCATATATTTCTATACTCAAACCTATATATAGATGCTTATTTATTCTGTTATCTTCACATAAAATAATTCAAATATATAAAATAAAATATTAAGTCACTTAAACATATTTTATTTGACCTTATGATTTAAATAAATGAAAATGTTTTTGCTGAACATTAATCATTAAAATGATTTATA